ACCCGGCAGTCTGTCTGAGATCATTCCCGGTCAGGGAATCCCAACAATGCATAGTATTTTCAATAGGTTTTTTTTCTGAAAGTGAGAAAGACCTATTCTGCTTGCTATTTTGTAAGCAAGACTTAAGATATTACCACCTGTAAATTTGCACAATTCAAAACATTCCAGAAATGTTTTATATTCTTGACCAGTATGCGAATTGTAAAAGTCATTACATCTTAGAGTCCCTGCAGACCTCTGTTGGCATTCTAGAGAAGAAAGCTTGGAAAAGTTGGATCATTATCAAACAATGTAGATTCTCCTGAATACTAATTATTTTATTCACTTATATCGTGTCTTTCTTTTCCCAAAAGGGCAGCTAACAGCATTTAAAACAATACAAACAAAAAATTACCATATAAAAAATATTAAAAGTATAAATCTAATAGTACAAATACAAGATTTAAAAAGTAATTAAATTATTCATAAAGTTCAAACATTGGAAATTAAAATGCATTAAAGACTATATCCAAATCTGAAAAACAGTGCCACACAACATTAAAAGCCTCTTCTATAAAAGTTTGATGGCATACAAATTTTGACCTGCTGACAGAAGGAAAGCAAGGAGGTGACCATCCTGGCTTGCCTTGGGAATTCAAAAGTTGGAGAGCCAACAAGAAGGTCCTCCTCCTTGTTCCTACCAAATGAAGTTCATGGCTACTCCATAAAAATCATGAATGTGGTTTGAAGTTGCATTTTATGGGGGCCATTGAAAAATGAGTGCAGAATTTATGCAGTTTGCTTTAACTTGTCACAGTGCCTATAGAAACCTGGGATTTGTAGTTTGCAGTGGCACCAGAGAAGCCTATCTCACAAAACTAGAAATCCCACAACTCCATAGTATTGAGCCATGGTAGTTAAAGCTGTGTCAAACTGCTTTAGTTCTGCAGTGCAGATGTGGCCCAGGGTGACCAGACATCCACCTTTTCCACAAGTCCTACATTTCAACCTTCTGTCCAGGAGTAATTTTATCATGACCTCCATTTTGAGCATGACTCAGAAGCATGAATTTACCTTTATATGAGTGTTGTGAGCTTTTATTTGGCGATGTCCTCCATTTTTTCTTGAATGCCCTACATTTTGTGGTGCCTTGACCTCTGGTGAGACACCTGGTCACCCTGATGCAGTCTCCCATTTTCTTTCACATGGAAACAGTGCTCAGTGGGTTGAAATGAAACACCACTATCACAAGAGCCAAAAAGGATGGAGGGCATAGAGGGTCTAGTCTTAAGCAAGTATAGAGATTAAACTCTTAACAAAGTTATGTTTAGGGCTAATTGCTGAGTTAAAGAAGAGGATACTGTTCATTTTTTAAAGTGTTGTATGCAACTGTTTTTGCATGAAACATTGGCCAGAGGCTAAAGTATCATACCTAATACTCTCTCTCCTACGTAGTACCACAGCCAGAAGAAAGTGTGGCCTCTCTGCATGGATATCTCTTCCTACTCAGAACAAAAACATTTTGACAAAATGCATGCCTGTGACTAACATTGTCTAAGAGAGAGAGCTCTTATATCACCTTTGAGATTAACTGAAAGAAGTTGGCAGCATGAGCTTTTCTAGACTCTCTACTTCCAATTATTTTGAATTTGAATTGACAGTCTCACATACCAATGGCATATATAGGTCTGCCCCTGGCTTTCCACGCCACCAAATGCATCTGAGGAAGTAGACTTAAGTGTAGGAAAGCTCATACTACCAATGTCTTCAGTGAGTCTCAAACGTACTACAAGATCTCTCTACAGACTGATTCTACAGACTAACACAGCTATACCTTTGAATCCTGTATGCTTTTTTAAACTCCTTTGCCTGAGGAAGACACCAGTGGAGCTTCGAAAGCTCACAACATGTATTTTGTGCATTTGCATTGGTCTAATAAATGTATCAATTTTGTGGGGTTTGGATATTACTGTACTTGTTTGCTTTCCTATTGCTCAGGAACAGCAGCAGGACAGCACTTAAGCCACCATTTCTGGTCTTTTTGTCATTCTGAATCCCGAGAAGGAGTGGAATGCCCCTGTATGTTGAGTAGAGAACTATTTCTTGAAGAGTACAATGTTCTGTGCCTTCAAGTCTTTTCCAACTTAATGGTAAACCTATGATGAGGTTTTCTTGGCAGGTTTCTTCAGGGAGCTGTTGCCATTGCCATCCCGAGGCTGAGAGAGTGTGACTTGTAATGTGTTGACTCTTGTTGCAATACTTTCACTCTAGTTGGGACTAATCTATAAGATTCAGACCATTATTTATTTTGTTGGTTATGTTTGTTGCCTGTTGTCATGTGCCTTCAAGGCGTTTATGGACCTATCACAGGGCTTTCTTGGCAAGATTCTTCAGAGAGGGTTTGCCATCATTGTTCATCCTCTGGGGCTGAGAGAGTGTGACTTGCCTAATGGGTTTCAATGGCTGGGCGAGGATTCGAACCCTGGTCTCCCAGAGTCCTCCTAGCCCAACGCTCAAACCACTGCACCACACTGCCTCCTTGAGGCCTAGACACTTTAAATCTAGGAAGGCACAGCCCTGAGTCTGCATGGCCTGAACAGGGTGCCTCTGGGCCTTTGCAGACTGCTAGAAATAGTGCAAATTGAGTCCACTTTTAGGGTTAGGGTTAATGCTAGGGAATCATGAGAATTTATTTTTTTTCTGGGACATTGAGCCTTCTCTGTCAGAGAGCTCTGGTGCCACAATAAACTACAGTTCCCATGATTCCGTAGCACTGAGTCAGGGCAGTTAAAGTGGACTCAATTTTCACTATTTCTGGCAGTCTGCAAAGGCCCTTTCTCATTCGTCATAACTCTGGAGACAACAAGACGCTCTGGGCGCATTTCAAAATGGAACCTCAACTGGCACCCTTTCATCAGCCCGCAACGCTATTGGTTGGCGTTGCGGCCAATGGGAGCTCCGTGCTGAGATGTCCTCCCGCCCCTACGGGCCTTAGCTCGCGTCTGATTGGGCGCGCTCTCTCTCCACAGCGGAGAAGTTTTCCATTAGTTCCCATCTCTGGTCGGAGTGGGCTCAAGTTCCACCTTTTGTCACTAGGGGTCGCTGTGGGAGAGCGTCGTCTTCTTTTTTCTTTCTTTTACACGAGCGGCTGAGGTCACTTCCGGCTTCCTCCTGAATTCCCCCTCGGTTTGGAAATAGAGAGTCTTAAGTGCCCTAAAGATGCCGATTGCTCTTAGAAGGTAAGCGGGGTCGACCCCGGTCAGTACTTGGAGGGGAGACTGCCAACGGATACCAGGATGCTGTTAGGCTGTATTTCAAAGGAAGAAACTGGCAAAACTATCCCTTGCCTAAGAAACCCCTGTGAAATTCCAAGGTTTCCATGAGTCGACCTAAGTCACCATAAGCCAGCAGGGAAATTGGAGTCACGCCCCCGAAAGGGACCAGATTCCCCTCTGACCATGGGAGCTAAGCAGAGTCAGCCCTGGTCAGTACTTGGATGGGAGACCACCCACAAATATACTAGGTCTTCTAGCCTATATTTCAGAGGGAGGAATTCAAGTGTGATCTGTAATACAGCCATGTATGGCCTTTGCCAAAGAACCTGCTGCCTTTGTCCTGACTGACTTCCAGAGCCTCCTGACCAGACTCCATTTGTGTCTGTCCACCATCAGAATATCAGTGACCATGAGGTCCAGAAAACATCCAGGGGTGGGTAGTAGCCCTCCTGTTGGCCATACAGCAAAGTGCAACAACAACAACAACACCCAAAATCCACGAAGCAGCTATGCCTTTATTGGCCAACCAAAATGCAAATATACTTGTTGCAAGCTTTTGAAGCTCCACTGGCTTCTTCATCATCAGGCAAGGTGCAGGAGGAAAACAATCGGAGATGTTAGTCATAGGCCTGCATTTTGCTGCCTCTGTTCTCAGTCCAAATGGTATGGAGGGGTGTCTCTTGCAGGATGCCACCTCCTCCACCTTCTGGCCATTCGGCTGCTGCGAGATTCTCAAACTCCAGGAAATTTAGCACTCCCTGGGAGGGTGGTATGGGGTGCAGTGGCTCAAAGTGGTTAAGGCGCTGACTCTTGCGTTGATTGCAAGATCGGTAGGTTGGCAGTTCGAGGCCCGATTGCTGCATGATGGGATGAGCTCCTGTCACTAGTCCCAACTTCTGCCAA